GCAACAGTTTCAGGGATTCTTTCAGTGTTTATAAGACCGATAAGTCTAGTCTCTTTAATGGATTTGAATTCTGTTTTACATTTTTCACTTGAATCTTCTGGTTAGAAATGTTAGTAGTGCAAGCTGGGCTCTATCTATATCTCCTAGTTTCAAGCTCGGAAAGGCGGTGGCTTTTGTGGACCATTAGTCCTTTGGACAAATTGCTACCTTGACAGTTGGTTTTCTTCTTTCTCTTTTGCTCCATGCAAGAAGAGACCATAGTTGTATCTTAGATGGCTGCTCACAAGCTTTTAAGACTCTAGATGCGACTCTCCAACTTACTGTGCAGAAGAATATTTATGGATTATGCTACACTAGTTATCTAGGTGTCCCCAGAGACTATGGTTTGCAGCCTTCAAGTCCAGCTCCTCAAGGTGGTTTTTTTTACTCTAAGAAATTTTCATAAATGTGTCCTATAAGTGCTCTATTATATAAATGAATTCACATGAAGCATACCCAGTATATATGTAGAAATAACCACAACCATATCTATGCCTACATAAAGACAGGCTTCTGCATAAACTCTTACACCTATTTAGCATTCATATCTACCTATGTACCCACTTTTACTACTTATACTTTTGTAGCAAGATTGTATATGTTATAACATTCATCATGTTGTTGTTGAGTGCTATGGGGTCAGTTTCAACTCATAGTGACCCATATAGGGTTTTCAAGTAGTGGCTGGTAGGTTTGAACCACTAACCATGAAGTTAGCAGTCCAGTTCTTATCCTACAATACTACACCAGGACTCCAGAATTTACCATAGTTGTCCTTTACTCTTATATACCTCTCACTGTCTTCCCTTATTTTGGCCATGTGCTAACTTACTGATATTCCCTTCAGTAGAATCAGCATATCTACTATCTATTTTATAGGGTGTGTAGTGCTCCTGTACCATAAGGACTGAACTGTGAACCAAAAGATCATGGGTTCGAACCCATCACTAGCTCCAAAGGAGAAAGAGGAGCCTTTCTGCTCTCAAAAAGATTTATAACCTCGGAAATCCTATACAACTTCATTGTGAGTTGGAATCAACTCGACAGCACTTTAACAACAACAAATATCTATCTAGTGATTCCCCTTGGTAACCATCAAAGAATGTTTCTTTCTGTGTGTAAAAAACTATGCTTGACTTTTTACTAAAGAGTTCTCATACACTATGTGTTCTGTTATTACTCAATTATTTCACTCATAATACTGCCCGCCCTCCAGATTCACTGTAATGCACTGTGGATTTATCATTATTCTTTATCATTGGATAGTATTTCATTGCATTTGTGTACTACAACTTATTTATTCATTCATTCCTTGATGGGCATTTAGGTTGTTGCCATCTTTTTGCTGTTGTGAATAATACTGCAATGAACATGGGCGTGCATATGTCTACTCATGTCACAGATATTATTTCTCTATGATATTTACCTAGGATGAGATTGCTGGATTATACACCTGTTTCCAGTTTTTAAAAGAAACAATGCATTATTTTCCACTGTGGCTGTACAAATTTACAATTCCATCAGCAGTGTGTAACCTCACAGTATTTTTTCTTTTCTGTTGTTGTTGTTGTTTTTGGACCAGTGACATTATTGGTGGGCTGAGGTAACATTTTGTTGTAGTTTTGATTTGCAACTGCCAAATGGTTAATGATTGTAACCATTTCTTCATGTGGTTGTTAGTTGCCAGAGTGTCTTCTTTGGTGAAGTATAAGCAGTGAATCTCTGTGGTATCACACTTTCAAGTCAGTTAACATCTCTCCAACCCCCTACAATTCTGAAATGCTATTATTTCTCAGGTTCATTTCCTTTAGGCATACTAACAAAGAAAAATACCCTGATTTGATTGGTAAAAGATATAGACACATACTCTCACCCAAGTGAAAAGCCAAATCTTCAATAATGATTTTGTTTAGATTGTTAATGGTATATCTATGTGTAAAGAATATTATGATCCCACAATATGTTAAGAGGCTATAAAATATATGAATTCATACCTTCAGTCAAAAAATCACTGACCTGATTATATACTTTTAGCTAATAGGTCATAGATTAGAAACTTTTCCACACATCCTTTCCTTGGAAGACTTCTGAAGTCAAAAAAAGCATATCATTACACTGATCACACTCAATTCTGTAAACATTCTCATCCAAATGACACTGTAGGTTGTTTTCTTAAAACATTTTGTTTATTTTCAAACGTGTTGATACCTAAAAATGCACCTAATAGAGCATACGCTTAAGAATCTGAGCAGCAGTCTTCACTGAGAATTCTCAGAATTTAACAGGAAATATTAAAGGAGCTCTGGTAGTGTAGTGGTTACGAATCAGGCTGCGAACCGCAAGGCCAGAAGTTCAAAACTACCAGCTGCTCCACGGGAGAAAGATAAGGCTTTCTGCTCCCGTAAAGATTTACAGCCTCGGAAACCCTGTTCAGGGTCACTATGGGTTGGAACCGACTCGACGGCACATAACAACAACAACAACATTACCAGTTTGACAGGGACCATTTTCTATATGCAAAATTTAAAATGTATGGGGATACAAAACTTAAATCAGCACAATTTTCAAAGCTACAAATTTAAAATAGTCTTAATAATCAGGTATACTGTTGATGTAAACTGCAATGTTTTCTGTTCCAAAGTTTAGAATAAAGCATTCCCACTAGAGCCCAACACATTATTGGTGGGCTTTACCTTGGTTAGCAAAATTCTACCATTCTAAGTGCTGCTTATCACAAACATTTCTTATTCCTTTATTTAAAATAATGGTAGAAATCAACTTGAAAGATTCTGAGCTACTACAGTAGAGTGCTTGAATGATTTTGATACAAATGAAATAAATGACTTAAATATCAAACCATTATCTGTCAACGACCATGTGCCAGACATGTTATTATTAGCCATTTAAGGACAGAAGAGCTAAGACACGCCTGCACTGAAAACACGTCTACTTACAGTGCTCACAGTCAAGCAAGAGGGGCAAGCACACTACTTGAGATGCTTTGGGAGTCAGGATTTAATCACAGAGCTTCTGACTTCAAACATCTTCAACAACTTCGAACATTTCATACCATAATACTAAAATCTCTCAACATATTGCTATCAGTAGTCAAACCAATTTTTTAAAGATAAAGTCATAACTTAATATCAGAGCATATAAGAATGACAGCTAACAACAATAATTAACTTATTAAAACTATTTTTAAAAATCACCTTGTTCAAAATTGGATACTGTATTTTCTTTTGCAAAACATGGACAACAGTTTTGCTTTGTTAATTATTGTTTCTGTTTTTGAAAATCAATGCTATTTTAAATTTATCTCAATCCAATCTATCCAAAAAATGCTGAACTCTGGGTGTCCTAAAAATGCAAGGCTATTACACTACATCCAGTTAGCTAAATCTTTTAATGAACTTAAAAAGCACAATTTGATTATGGGCTTAACTAATGAAAGAGGACTTAAGAATTTCATTAGCTGACTAGTTGCCATTAAAGCTATCTAAACTTGAGTTCTGACAACATTCTGTTACGGCAAGAAAAATAAATTTAAGTCTTGATAAGAATTTGAGAGCTAACTGCCAAAGATCTTTGTAACTCTAAGCTCCTATAACTGCAATTTTTTTAAAGACTTAGATGAAATACAGACTGTTTCCAAGGGAGAAACACACGTATCTCATACCAAATAACTATATTTTTAGTTAATGAGCTTGTAATTTTTACATTATTTTCACATATCAATATAATTACAAGGATTAGAAAACTGATGTTGTTGTTGTTGTTAAGTACCTTCGAGTCGGTTCCGACCCATAGCGACCCTGTACAGGGTTTCCGAGGGTGTAAATCCTTACGGGAGTAGAAAGCCTCATCTTTCTCCCGCGGAGCGGCTGGTAGTTTTGAACCGCTGACCTTAAGGTTCGCAGCCCGATTCGTAATAGGGTCCTCTTTTCCTCCTATATCAAACCTCTTCATATTCCTCTAGTTGAGTTTCTAATCAGCAAACCACCCAGGTCAAATTGGATACTATCTGCAAGTTTGGTCATTCTTGCATGTCTATCCCCACTTCAGATCAGCTGGATGCTTCACTCTCAGCTCTGTCCGCCAGTGACTAGGTCAGTGTCCATGGATCAGGCATGCCCAAGTCTCCCAAATTTTTGGACCAATCAGTCTTTCTTCTTCTCTCTCTCATACTCAGGGTCAAACTCAGCAACTGATAGGTATGTTAAAATGGGTTTTGAAAAAAACAAACAAACTAGATTTAATGTAACGATAGATCATATTAAAAGGTCAAAAATATACTGAAAAAGAATACAAATGAGCGAAGAGATCAAAACTGTGTAGAATGGAAAGGTAATGGTAGTATAGGAAATAACACAGAAAACATACAGTAGAAGTCACACCACGAAAGTTAATGTGGCTTAAGTTTCAAATGAAAACTGGTATAAAATGTAGATAAAATAGCAGAATTAGCTTGATATATACACCCTGACTTAAATGTTGTTGTTGGTAAGTGCCGTCGAGTCAGTTTTGATATATAGTGACCCTGTATAGGGTTTCAGAGGAGCAGCTGGTGAGCTTGAACCGCCACCAACTTTGTGGTTCAAACCAACTTTGCAATCCAGTGCATTAACCTACAGCGCCACACCAAGACTCTGACTTAAATAGTGACTGTGAGATATTTGAAGATATGATAGTTTGTAGAAAACAAAATTCCCTTTAGAGAATTTCCAGAATACAATATAAGTTTCTAGTCGTTCACAAAAAGAATACATGAAAAAATATATATTATTTAATGATCCATAGAAATTGCTGTCTTAAAAGGTTAAAAGTCTTACATATTGCTTTATAATTTTAAAAGCAAACTTAAAATCAAGGCACCTTAATTTTGCAAAACAGTAAGATGTTAGAACATAGTATAAGGGAAAATAAAAAGAGGACTACACATATTGGGGAAATGCACTTACCATCATGATTAGGATTCCCTAAAGTCCATGGTTCATCTGAATCAAAATGAGTATCTCCCCCAATTCCTGGTCCAGGAAAATAAGCATGTGCCAAAAATCCTCCCTCTCCATCAAAGGGAGAACTGTCTCCATGAAATCCAGATGCAAAAATGATAGTTATATCCACATCACGCTTGCCATTTTCTAATTCACTGTAGGGAACTTCTTCAAATGTAAGAGGAGTTACATTCTGCCACACATCAAAGGCACGGCGAATAGCTTTACGGGTTTCAGGGTCTCCTACTTTTGGAGTTACGTTCTTTATACTGGAAAAAAAAAAAAAGTAATAGTGAGTATGGCTTTGCTATATATAATCTAACTTCTAGATTTATATGTATTCAGCTTGATAAAAATATTAGGGAAATTGTCTTAAATAACAAAAATCATTGATTCATAATGGTCAGATTTCACTATGCTGTGATTATTTAATGTGCAGCAGTATAAGATTTATCTACTAAGACTATAAATGAGAAAATCTATGTAGAATGGCTAACAACAGGATAACTAACTAGATCAATCATTTCACTTTGCTGCTGGACCACAATAGGAAGGCAGCTTTGCCAAAGGATCAAACAGTTACAGTAGTTTCAAGTAGAAATAAAACTCACAATTCCTTTGTAGTTATAATTACTTTTAGAGAAACACCATTCTGTATACACAGTCACTTCCTTTACCTTGGTGCATCAACTTAGTAAGTCATTTTTTAGCTTTTTAATAATTTCTGATGCTCCACTGTTTTCTTCATAATGTTGTGAGTCATTAGCATCTTAATATAAAACTTAACAATTATACAAATGCAAAGATGTAACAACAACATTATTTATTTAAACAAGCTCATTTTGCCCAATGCTAACTACAAATGAATAAAAGAAATTGAAATATTTTTATTGGCTCTTTCAACAGTAATCAGGTATTTCTCTTTTTCCAATTACTTTCTAATTTTTGCTAAAAAGAACATAAACAAAACTCATATATATATTTTATATTGTGGCAATATCAATTTGTACCATCTCTGTGAAAACCAGTGAGCAAATTCTATAGGAATCATTAAATTTTCAGACTCACTTTTACCAATAATCTTGTATCTATGATTTTAAACATAGGAAATAATATCAGATAAATGTCTATTGTATGATAATAATAAGTTATAATTGGAAGGAAATTATTTACAATGAACTAAAGAATACAGGTTGCCTCTGAATTTGGCAGGTCTATGTTCTAATGACTACTCTGTCATAGCTGGTTTTGACATAAGTTGTTGTTGTTGATGTGAAGTGCTGTCGAGTCAGCTCCGACCCATAGTGACCCTGTAAAGGGTTTTAAGGAACAGCTGGTAAGCTTGACCTGCCAACCTTGGAGCTCAAACGGCTTTGCGGTCTGGCATGTTAACCCACAGCGCCACACCAGGACTCCTTGACATAAGTATAACATCTTATATCAGAAATAATCCTTTTGTCAAACTTTCACATGCATATGAGGTTGAATAGACCATGGCTTGGGTCAAGCACACCTTAGTCCTCAACCTGATATCTTTGCTCTTGAATGCATTAAAGAGGACTTCCACAGCAGATTTGCCTAGTGCAGTACATTCTTTGATTTCTTTTTTTGTGTGTGTGTGAATACAAACGAATATTTATTGTTTTAGGTTGAAGTCATATCTCTAATATCACACATTCAAAATTAGTGGTGACAGTCCATCCATTCATATATTGAACTTAATTCATGGCTTTTCAACCTTAATTCCCTTGAAGATTCTTTTTTATTTAATGTTTTATTGTGAATTATGTGATAGTTTATATGGGAGAGCATTAGCTTTACATTCAACCTATCATATATCATTTCATTGCCATGGTTAAAATCCCCTCCGTACATCATCAAACAAATAAGGGTATATCCTGCAAGCCTGCCCCCTGGTTGTCAGCACACAGACCCTCTCCCTTTCTGGGTCAAAAGTCCCCAGCTGCTCCATCTCTCCACGTCATCATCTCTGCCTCCATCTCTGTTGTCACTGCTTCTCTGGGTAGGGTCTCGCAGTCAGCTCTTCTCCCTTGATGGTTCCAGGGACCTCGGCTCGTGGGCTGCATAGTCAATCACCTCCCTCTTTTTACTACAAAACATCCACCTTTACATTTCCAGCCCTCACAGTCAGTCCTGATAACAATTATTCACCATTGGACCACAAGGGACCTATCCCCATCTCCTTTCATTAGCCCCACCCAGACAGATTAGATACTATTCAGAGGAGAGTCTACCTTCATCTGCGCCTTCTAGATCTAGGCTCCCTCTTGAAAGCTTCTAAGCCAGTCACTTCTTGACTTTGTAGCCCCATTTTGGATAGACAATGTCCAAGTTGTCCATCCCTGCCTACTCTGTGTATGGAAGGGGTGGGAATGATCCTCGCTGTAAAGATTTATGTTCCCTCTTTGAGATACTGCATCCATAGGTGTAGGTCAATTTCATCAAATTGTATCAGATTAATCTTTTTTTTTTTCCCCTCTTCTTTCTTCTGGCTGAGCTCTGATCATTCAGTCATTGAAGCCAGGTTGAGTGGGTATTATCTGCAAGTGTGGATGTTCTTATGCATATGCCCTCTGTTCTTATCAGCTGGATGCTTCACTCTCCACTATAGTCCACTAACTCTGGGCCCAAGAGTCCCCAGGTCTTGCCATACTGCTGGCCAACCAGGTCTCCACGCAGGGTTCACAGGAGTCTATCAAACATTGTAGGGCTTAGCTCACAGCTTCATTGCTGTTTTTCTATCACTTCCCCTTATCGTGACAAATGTGGTCACCAAGCAGAGCGTGTATTCCCACTGAGTGTTAGTCTTGGAAGGGGGTTTGCATTGAGGGGACCCGACAACTTGTCTTGATGTCTCCTGGGCGAGCACCTTGCTTGTTCTTGTAGTAATCAGTTGGACTGCCATTATTGTTTTGTATTTTTCCCGTCGGTCTTTCTTTCAAGAAGTATCTTATGTTCTTCTAGCCACTCCAAGCTGGTCTGCTTGTCCCTTCAAGTGGAAATTTTCCACCTCAGAAGGTTCTGGGTAAGATTCAGGATTCTACCTATGATCTTATGTAATGCAGAGTCTCCGAGAGAAGCCTCCTTCACTGGGCACATTGTAGCTCCATTTTAGGTATTCCAATCAGTTATAGACAGAAGACAGACTTACAAGTTTTCTATGGTGATATTTCTGACTATTACTTTCTATCCCCTTCAAGTGTCTTTTACAGTGGTATGTCAGGGAAACCAAGATTCAAAAGACAGCCAAGCAGCTTAACATTATTTCCCCCCTTTGCTCATTCCAACCATGTCTCAATCCCTGTATCCCAGAGCCCTGTGGTTCCAAGGTTCTGCATGCATCATTATTTACCTCTGTCTCACTTAGCTCATGCAAATCTGCCTAATTGTTTTCCTATTCACATTGTTCTTCCATTCCACTGCTGCTTCTTGTGTATTGCCACCCTCCCTAGCACCCAAACTATCCTGTGTCTATTCCCTACCCTATGCTCCACCTTCCCCTCCCTCCCCTCACCCTCCCTCCCACATTTCCATAACCAACAATGAATCCACCCCCCTGCCTTTAGTATGGGTTCTTTTTCTTAGTCGTTTACAGTATTGGTCCTACGTAGTATTTCTCCTTTTGTGACTGACTAATTTCAATCAACATAATGTTCTCAAGGTTCATCCAGGTTATGTGATAACTTACGGCTTTCTAGTTGTTCTTCAAGGTAGCATAATATTCCATTGTGTGTATGTACCACAGTTTGTTTATCCATTTGTCAGTTGATGTGCAATTAGGCTGTCTCCATTTTCTTGCTGTTGTAAATAGTGCTGCTATGAATATTGGTGTGCATATATCTATTTGTGTTATTGCTCATATTTCTTGTGGGTAAGTACCAAGTAGAGGAATTGCTGAATCACAAGGTATTTCTATTTCTAACATTCTGAGGAAATGCCATAATGCTTTCCAGAGAGACTGGATCATTTTGCATTCCCACCAGCAATGCAGGAGGATCCCAGTCTCCCCACATCCTCACAAGCATTTATTGTCCTCTGCTTTTTTGACTTGGTTTGGTGCTGTGGCTTAATGCGCCAGATTGCAAAGCCATTTGAACTGCAAGGTTCACGGTTCAAGCTCACCAGCTGATCCTCAGAAACCCTATACAGGGTCGCTATGTGTCGGAATCGTCTCCATGGCACTTAACAACAACAACAATTTTCTTGATAAATTGAAGAGGAATGGTGTTGTATTAACTGTCAAAAAGAACATATCCAGATCAGTCATGAGGTACAATGCTGTCTGTGATAGGATAAAATCCATGCGCCTAAAGGGATGACCTTTTAATACCACTATTATTCAAATTTAATGCACCAACCACTAAATCCAGTGAGGACGAAACAGAAGAAGTCTATCAACTTCTTCAATCTGAAACTGATCAAATATGCAATAAAGATGTATTGACCATTACTGGTGAATGGAATGCAAAGGTTGCAAGCAAAGTGGAAGGATCACTACTTGGAAAATATGGCCTTGGTGATAGAAATGATGCTAGAGAATGCAAGATAGAATTCTGCAAAATCAATGATTTGTTCATTTCAAATACCTTTTTTAGACAGCATAAGAGACAACTATAGACATGGAGCTAACCAGATAGAATACACAGAAATCGAATTGACTACATCTGCAGAAAGAGATGATGGAAAAGTTGTATATCATCAGTCAAAACAAGGCCAGGGGCAGACTGTGGAACACACTATCAATTACTCATATGCAAATTCAAACTGAAGCTGAAGAAAATGAAAACAAGTCCATGAGAGCCAAAATATGACCTTAGATATATCCCACCTGAACTTAGAGATCATCTGAAGAAAAAATTTGATACATTAAACAATAAAGACAGAAGGCCAGAAGAGTTGTGGGATGACATCAAGAACATCATACATGAAGAAAGCAAAAAGTCATTGAGAAAACAAGAAAGAAGGAAAAGGTCAAAATGGATATCAGAAGAGACACTGAAACTAGCTCTCCAGTGTAGAGATCCTAAAGCAAACAGAAGAAATGCGGAGGTCCAAGAGCTGAATGGAAAATTTCAAAGGTCATCTCGAGAATATAAAGCCTTTAAAAAGTGCAAAGATCTGGAATCAGAAAACCAAAAAGAAGAACACACTCAGCATTTCTCAAACTGGGGGAACTGAAGAAAAAATTCAAGCCTCGACTTTCATTACTGAAAAATTTTCTGGACAAATTATTGAATGATGCAGAAAG